CATCTTCTTGTGTTTCTTAGTTGTTATGATCATTGTTTCTATTATTTTCAATTCACAACACTCTTCTCATCCCACTGTTTACTTTTTATTTTTTGTTATTGTTTTCATGTTTTACACAACCTATAATTACATAGTATTTCTTTGGTTATATGTGCTTTGTTTGCTTTTCTGTTAGATTAATTATGTTTTTTTTTTTTTTTTTTGCGTTGTCGGTTTATAGTTTGGTGTTGGGGATTAGGACTTAGGGAGTAGAAATTTGAGATTATTGCTTAGGAAGTAGGGATTTGAGATTAGGAATTAGGGATTAGGGATTAGGGATTAGGGATTAGGGCTTAGAGATTAGTGATTGGGGATTAGAGATTAGGGATTAGGGGTTAGGAATTTGGGTTTATTGTTCTTTCGCTTCTTATGCTCCACCTCCTCATCATTCTTATTCTATTTTTTTCTTTAATTATTTTTTTGTTTTGGATTTTCATTTTTATGTGCGTAACTAATCTAATATGTACTTTGATTTCAGTTGCTAGTGGAATGGTCGAGATAAGCTTCAAAGCCGAGTTTAGGAGCAAAAAGATAAGTATATCTATTTGTGCAAATTTGATTGAATTTCTTTCACATGTGAAATGTGTTTTACGCATGACTATTTCTACATCGTATTGTGTTTTTTACTTGTTATGATCATTGTTTTTATTATTTTCAGTTCACAACACTCTCCTCATCCCACTGTTTGCTTTTCATTTTTCGTTATTATTTTCATGTTTTACACAACCTATAATTGCATAGTATTTGTTTGGTTATATGTGCTTTGTTTGCTTTTCTGTTAGATAAATTATGCTTTATTTCCTTTTTTCTAGGTTGTTGGTTTATAGATAATGGTTGGGATTAGAGCTTGGGGAGTAGGGATTTGGGATTAGGGATTAGGGATTAGGGCTTTCGAGATTAGGGATTAGGGATTAGGGATTACGGATTACGGATTATGGATTAGGGGTTTGGGGTTAGGGATTTGGGTTTATTGTTCTTTTGCTTGTTTTGCTCCACCTCCTCATCATTCTTATCCTATTTTTTTCTTTTATTATTTTTTTTATGTTTTAGATTTTCATTTTTATGTGCGTAACTAATCTAATGTGTACTTTGATTTCAGTTGTTAGTGGAATGGACGAGATAGGCTTGAAATCGGAGTTTAAGAGCGAAAAGATAAGTATATCTATTTGCGCAAATTTGATTGAATTTCTTTTACATGTGAAATGTGTTTTACACATGATTATTTCTATATGTTCTTGTGTTTCTGACTTGTTATGATTATTGTTTCTATTATTTTCAATTCCCAACACTCTCATTATCCCACTGTTTGTTTTTCATTTTTCGTTATTGTTTTCATATTTTACGCAACCTATCATTGCATTGCATTTCTTTGGTTATATGTGTTTTGTTTGTTTTTCTATTAGATTAATTATGTTTTATTTCCTTTTTTTGGGTATTTGGTTTATTGTTTAGGCTTAGGGAGTAGAGATTTGGGATTAGGGATTAAGGATTAGGCTTTCAGAGATTAGGGATTACCGATTACGGATTTGGGGTTAATGGTTGCTCTGGAATGATAGAGTTAAAATCAAGGAGTTGTACTCTCATGAGCTGTGGTGCTGACTGTAGAATTTATATTTTTGGACTCTGAAAAATTTTGGATGTCTGTGGTATATGCAAGTTGTGACCGTGTTAGGAGAAGGTTATTATGGCAGCATTTGTGGGGTATTGAGATACCTGCAAGTGATCCTTGGATTATTGCAGGTGATTTCAATTCCATTTTGACTTCGGAAGAAAGAAGAGGAGGGGCCTTTCCTTCTATTACAGCTATGGAGGAGTTTGGCCAATTTCTTGATCAAGGAGGGTTGTTGGATCATGGTTTTTCTGGTAGTAGGTTCACATGGTGTGATAATCGCCAGGGGCAAGTCAGGATGATACAGAGGTTGGATAGGGTTTTGGTGAATGCTACTTGGCCTCTGAGATTTGAGAATACTGAGGTTGTCCATCTTGCTAGGGGTAATTAAGATCATTGCCCCTTGCTTGTTAAGATTTTGGATGAACCTATTCAGAGAAGAATATCTTATTTTCGTTTTCAGGATATGTGGTGTGAACATGAAGGTTTCCTGAATTTGGTTGCTACAAATTGGAGGGGGCATTTTTCTGAGAATCCTGTTGCTAACTTGTTCTTCAAGCTCAAGTACTTAAAAGCCCATCTCAAACTGTGGAACAAAGAAGTCTTTGGGAATGTATTTGATAATATAAAAGTTCATGAAAGAAGGATTCCGGAGGAGTCTAAATTGGATCAGAATTATTGTTTGGAGGGTGCATTAGTATTAGAGAGGTGGAAGGAAGGATTGGATAATTTGCTTAGAATGGAGGAGATATTCTGGAAGCAAAAAGCGAATATTAGATGGGCTGTTGAAGGGGAAAGAAATACAGCTTTTTATCATGCTATGGCGAAGAGTAAAATTGTAAGAAATAAAGTTAAAAGAATTCAGAATGATGAAAGTGTTTGGGTTCATGGGGAAGATGAGATTGCTGACGTTGCTATAAAATTCTATTCTAAGTTGTATATGTCAAAGAATCATTCTATTCAGGAAGAGATATTTTCTGAAATCCCTTCACTGGTTGGTGATCAAGAGAATGAAAGGTTGGTGGAAGCTGCTTCTATGGAGGAAGTCAGAGAGATTGTTTTCTCCATGGCTGTGGAAAGTGCTCCAGGACCTGATGGGCTTTCGGGTAAGTTTTTTCAATCATCCTGAGAGATTATCAAAGATGATGTACTGCTTGCTGTGATTTTTGTTTTGGGAGGTGGTGTAATTCCAAAATCTGTTAACTCTACTTTTCTTGTTCTAATTCTAAAGAAGGACAGCCCTGTTAACTTTGGGGATTTTCGGCCCATTAGCCTCTGCAATTTTGTTTATAAAATTTTTACAAAGCTCCTCACTACGAGACTTTCTTCTTTACTTCCTGTGTTGGTGTCTGAAGAGCAACATGGTTTTGTAAAAGGAAGGTGCATTGGGAATTGTGTGTCATTGGGGTAGCTAATGGCAGAGGAGTTGGATAGAAAGGTGGTGGGAGGCAATATGGTAGTTAAATTAGATATGATGAAGGCGTATGACCGGATCGAATGAGACTTTTTGTTGAGGGTGTTGGAAAAGTTTGGTTTTTCAGGAATGTTAGTTAGAATTATCTCTAACTGTCTGAAAACCCAATTTTTTACATTGTGTTTAAATGGAAAAAGGCATGGTTATTTTGCTAATTCAAGGGGGCTCAGACAATGAGATCCTTTATCCACTTCCTTATTTATTCTTGCTGAAGAGGCTTTGAGTAGAGGGTTGAGAAGACTTTATCAGATGAATTTGGTCACCCATTTTCACACAGGCAGAGGTTCTCTTTTGGTGAATCACCTTTTTGCTGATGATACCTTAATATTCTTGAGAGGTAAGAAGAAATCTATGATAAACTTGATGAAGTTTATAAGTTTGTATGAATCTTGTTCTGGACAGAAAGTAAATAAATCAAAAAGTGCTTTGTATTGTTCAGCAAAAATCCCCATTGTTAGACGGAATGTGCTGTCCAATTTGGTGGGAATCCTTTGAAGACCTGCCCCTTTTCTTATCTTGGCTTCCCCATTATTAGGGGAAGATCTAGGAATTGTTTCTTTGCGGAGGTGATCAACAGTTTTAGAAGGATCATTGAAGGATGGTATGCCAAACTTCTATCTGGGATGGGTAGACTTGTGATGGTGCAGTCTGTGTTGAATGCTATTCCCATTCATATTTTGACTTGTATGAATATACCCAAAGGCGTGATGAGGAAGTTGAATTCATTAATCGCTGGGTTCATATGGTGCTGTAAATTGGACTCTAAAAGGAGACATTGGGTCTCTTTGGATAAGATGTCCAAACCAAAGGAGGAGGGTGGGTTGAGAATTCGAAGCTTTGAGGAGATTCAAGCAGCTTTCAGAGTTAAACAGGTCTGGAATATCCTAAATGGTAATTGACTTTGGGCGAAGATGTTCAGATCTACATTCTTAAGGGGAGGCACTTGTTAAGATGTGGGGAATCGAGGGGTGCAAAATCTTTTAAAAGTTTGAAGCCTTGGTTTAATTTTGTGGTTGAAAATTCCTGGGTCAGTATAGGGAAAGGTAGAAACACTGATTTTTGGTGTGATGCATGGCTTGAGTCTGGGCCCTTATTGCAAAGTGCTGTGGGGATTCCCACTGATTTTCCTGCTGTAGCTGATATGTGGGGGAATAACCAATGGCAGCTGGATGATGTTATTTCTGTCCTTGGGGAGCAATTGAAGTCTGAGATTATATCAGCTGGAGTGGTGATCTGTGAGCAAGGGGATAGAAGGGTTTGGAGGAGTAGCAGTACTGGTCTTTTCTCTGTTAAAGATGCATGGTGGCAGGTCAGGCAGCAGGGTGAGCAGAATGTGGCTGCTAAATGTATCTGGAGTCACAGAATTTTTCCAAGTGCACAGCTATGTTCTTGGAAAATCCTTAGGGGTGCTTTATCCATTACTTCAAGAATCCGTGACTTGGGTATTGATTTGGTAAGCAGGTGCAGTCTCTGTGGCGAAGAAGAGGAAACTGTTTCTCATTTGTTTATTGAGTGCAGTTTTGCAAAATCAATATGGAGAGGGTTTGCAAGTATGATGGGTTTTGGTTTGATTGAGGGGGAGTCTTCTATTATTAGGTTCTTGAGGCTTAGCAGAATTTTTAAATGTTGTTCGCTGAGTCACGCTCTAGTTAGAGGAGTTCCACTTCTTTTATACTGGGCTCTTTGGAAAGAAAGGCGCAGGAGACGGTTTGAGGAAGAGAATTAAATTCCTATGCTGTGTTTTTACAAATTATGAGTGCTTTGGGTTTTCAGGCTTTTATTATTAAGCCTAAGAAGGGTGATGATAGTAATGGTAAAGTGTTACTTGCTGATTTGAAGATTAATGCTGCCCATGTTGTTATCACAAAGGCTTTATGGATTAAGTGGGAACCCCCTCCAGATGGGACCTTGACGCTTGCAGCAAAGGGGCCAACTGGTTTGTCAGGCGGAGGCATGGTGGTCAGGAATTCGAATGGTCTGATTGTTGTCGCTGCTGCCTCCTTTTATGACAGGGGTTCGAATATGCTGGCCGAGTGTAAGGCACTTTTGGAGGGTATTAAGTTGTTTTTGCGTCATGATTTAATGAATTATCAACTTCTTATTGAATCGGATTCACAGGTGCTTGTTGGAATGGTATTGGGGAAGGTCAAGGTTCCTTGGAAATATAAACAGTTTATTGATGATATTTGTGGAATTTTGCATAGATTTAATATCAAGGTTAGTCACATTTTCAGGGAAGCTAACGGTCTTGCAGATTTTCTGGCTTCTTATGCTGTCAACGAAGCCTGCTGTTTTGAATTTTTGGGTACTGATTCGCTGCCTATAGCTGGAAAGATGAGGTTGCATCACGATCAACTTTCTTTGTCTACATTGAGACGAAAAATGATCTTGGTTGATAGCACTTGCAGGCAGCTTGATACTGTTGACGTGCGCTTGAATGGGAGACAGGAGCAGTTCCCTGTTCTGCGCACTGGGTGTGCTCTGATAAATGATGATCATGGTTAATAGCTGTTGGTTGGGCTGGTTCTGGGGTCCTTTTGCTTTGGGCTGGTTCATGTTGCTGGGGGTCTCCTGCGCCCTGCTGGTTTTGGGCTGTTCACGTGCACTGTTCATGTGCACAGCTTGTTTAATGCAGCTGCTGGCCCTCACTCTTCGGTTATCTTCTATCTTCAGCTGGGTTTTGATGGCCTTTTACCTGGTTTTTCAGCTGGTCTCCGTCAGCTGTCTTTTCTTATGGTGTCTGCTGGTTCTTGGTCTGCCGCCTGGCCTTCATTGCAGGCTGCCACAGTAGCTGGGGACTGTTCACGCGACTGTTCACGTGACCTGCCTGGCTCCTGCTACAGCTGTTTTTCTGCGGTGATCATGCTGCCTTCCCAGCTGGTTTCAGCTTCTCATGGATTTGCGTCTGTCAGCTGGTTATGGATCTCTTTCAGCTGCTGCTCTCCTCGTTTTCAGCTGACGCAGTTATGTTTTGGTTCCTTCGGCTGCTTTCATACGGTTGCTCATGGTGTTCAGCTGGACTCTCAGCTGGATTTCCAGCGGCTCTTATGCAGCTATTTAGGTCTTTATTGAGCCTGCCTGCTTGCCCAAGCTGGTTCAGCTGCAGCTGGTCTCCTCACCTTCTCTCTGCTGGGGCTCTATGGATTGTCTCTTCTGGTTTCAGCTGGTTTTAATGGTTCTCCAGCTGGAATTTCAGCTGTTTCTCATCCTTTTTATGGCCTTTGCGCCTTTGCTTGTCCTGATGCTGCTTGGTTCTCATGATGTTCCATTTTGCTGGGTGGTATCTGGGCTGTCTCTGCACTTTGAAGAATGTTATCCTTTTTTAATTTTGCAGGATTAAAGCCAACTTTGGCCTTTCTCTTTTTGTTCAAGCTATACTTTTGCTTCTTGTAATCTTGGGGTTATCAATAATATTTCTGCATTCTTCCAAAAAAAAAAAGGGGTTAGCGATTTGGGTTTATTGTTCTTTTGCTTCTTTTGCTCTACCTCCTCATCATTCTTATCCTATTTTTTTCTTTTGTTATTTTTGTTATGTTTTGGCTTGGTAAAAGTCTTGCAATTCCATTTTTTTGGTCTTTTAATGACTCTATTCCATAGAATGATCGAATTTATTTTGGTTGCATTTGGTACTACTGTGTTTTTCCCCTAGAAAATCAACTTTGGTATGTGCTTATTACAGGCCCTATGTACAGCTGTTTCTTTTCTGGCCACTGTGCCTTTGGGAGAACTGTTCTTTTTCCACGTAATTCTAATTCGAAAGGTTTGTTCCTTCTTTAACAAACCTTAACTTTGTAGTTGGATGTTGCATTCGCAAATGCGATATATATTTTCCATCTGGAATTTCATTCGCCAGGTAAAAGAGAATAGGAAACATAGAAAGGCAAAAGGAGGCTGCTAACACCATCATATTCTTTTGTTGCAGGGTATCACAACCTATGAGTACGTTGTCGCAATGAGGACCCAAAGTGAAGCTCCTGGGCCCTCTGTGGACGGAGGAGATCTGCAGAGTTTGCCATCCTCACCAACAAGTTCTGCCATGAGCGGAAGAAGCTCTCTTGGAATGAGCTTGCAATATAAAGGTGCTTGGTGTACTCCTCCTAGAATCTTTATGGACCACCAGGTACTGCTGCCTATTTTAGTAACGCTTCTGCAGCATGAAACATCTGCTAGGTTTTCAGCAAAGATTTTTTAACTTAGATCAAGTTTCCTTCTTTCTTCTGTATAGAGTTGATTTTGTTTGGTTGATGTAGGGTGGTGTATTCGGAGGCGTTTGCCTAGCTGACCTAATGAAAATACATTACATAAACCCAAAAACAAAGGAAGCTAGAGGCTGACCTAATGAAAATACATTGCATAAACCCAGAAACAAAGGAAGCTAGAACAACTTAGACGGTGAAGTAGTTCTAAAGTTACTTGTGGTATTGTGGGAAAAGTGTCAAAAAAGACTGGAGAAAACTACGTGTGTAATCAACATAATGGGAACAAACTTGTATACAACATTTTTATTTTACAAAATATTGCTAGTTTTTTGGAAATTTGTTTCTAGCTCTAGTATACTTGGTTTTGGGTTGGATTATCTCTTGGTCCAAACTCTGGTTCATGTTATTTTTTTCTGGAAATATTTCCTGCTTTTGTCGGTGATTAGATATATCTATTCTAGGGCAAGTGCTACTTCATGATGGAAAGAATTCTCTTTATTAACATTGGAAGCACCATGATATCTGTCACATGCATTTCATGCTCCATGTTTCAGTAACTTTAATATTTGTGTTGAACGTCCAAGGATAAAGGCTCCATACTGACTCGTTCTTGTTAGTACATAACCAGGATGAAATTATCCCTCATCTAGAGCGAGATCGCTTACCATCCACTGTTGATCCAGATTCATTGCCTCCTCCTGATAAGGGGAAAAGGTTAGCCCAGCGTCCAGTCCGGATAAGTGCATGGAAGCTTGCCAAATTGGACTCTAATGAGTCAATCAAGGCAGGGGCCAAGGCTAGAGCTTCATCATCTGTTTTACGTCCAGTAAGTTCCAGACATCATCCGTATGACTCCGATCATTTATCCAATAGCAATGTGAGTGGCAGAAGCAGTCCAACCAGTACCAATCATGGATTTCATGAAAGAAATACTAGAGCAGGAACATCAAGGTTATCTTCTTCGAAGAGTTCATATCCTCCCAGTCGTGCTAGCAGGGAAGATAATGAAATGTGTGGCCACAACATTAGTAACCTAAACAGCCCTCATCCCCCTAACCTCACACCTTCTCCATTAGAGCAGCTGGCTTCAAACAGAGATCATTTCAATCCGATGTACATGTCATCAGTAGATCGATCTCCTTTGTCAGCAAAGGACGCAAATGAAACTGCAGTTAGTGATGTAGAAAGGGTACCAATGAGTAGAAACTTGGGTGCTGCAGAAAATTCAAGGTCGTCGTCAGTATTTTGGGATCAAGAAGCTGGGCGCTTTGTCTCTGCAGCCACCAGAAGTGTTAGTTCTTCCTCTCAGGTATCCGGAAGAGAGCCGCTTACATATGCAGGTCAATCTATTTTCTATGGTGGTTCCCCTGTGGATGAACAGTTGAGCAGAGGGACAAGAACTGGCAACTCACTGCCTTCCGATCCTGAGAGAGGTTCCACGTCAAGTTACTATCGGCAGGGTAGATCACAACGAGGTGGCCAGCTTCCAGTGTTTGTTCCAAGTGATTCCCAGCACCACCAATTTTCTTCTACACTGCGATGAAACTGAAATGACATTATCATGCCAATTTGTCTCTCCAGATATATAATGTTGGATTTGAGATTTTCACTTTCTCAAATTTTGTTTTATTTGCTCATCTTGCGCAGCTCTTACTTTTCTACTGCATCTAACCAAGCAATGCACTGGCGCATCATCCACTTCTATTAATGATAGCTGGGCCACTAATTTTTCAACACCACTGTTACCTATCACATTGAAATCTATCCTCCTGCAAGGATTTTTTTTTAATAAGATGCAGAGCAATTGCAGAAACCCTACCCTATTAGGATTTTGTGAGTTTAGTGTTCCTTAAGTTGGGTGGTTTATTGAAAAAGTTTAATAAAGAATTCAACAGGTATTATAAAAACGATGTCGTTTTAGTTTAGTGGTAAGTTTCCGCGTGTCACCTGGTCCTCCCGGGTTCGGTCCCCGGCAACGGCGATTATTATTTTTAGGTATTTCTATGATTTTATTTTTAGGCGCATTTCGACTCTTATTTATCGGTTCCATTTGGAGGGTGCACATGGCAATCAGCACAGCAGCACCAACGGCAGTGGATAGAGACTTCTCATAAAGATGGCGGCTTTATCATAATCTTTTGGTTTTTTGGGCTCCAATGGCCATGGCTTCACTACAGAGCTTTGCGAGATTCAGCGTTGATAATATTCTACATTGTTGTTCAAAACCCACCTTCAAAAATCAAACACAGCAGCATATAAAGCAGCAAGTCATTTTACCAAGACCACCCATATCGAGAAGGTGTGCAATTCTCATCTTTGTGCTTCCTTTGGGCTTCGTTTGACTACCCCTGCCATCATTGGCCAGAGAGAGGCGCAACAAAATGGCCATCCCTCTTGACGACTACCTCACCAGCTGTTAATCACTCTTTACTTTATACTTGCTCTTGTTTAACTGTGCTTTGTTGGGCTTTATTTTTTTCATCATTGTCATTATCTGTTCATGTTCTTGGGGTGATGTCTCTTGGATTTCTTCAATTTCTTGTTTTTTTCTGATAAACGTTTGTTAATGCAAAGGGAACCCACCTTACATCTACCATTGGATTTCTCATATGTTCATATGTTAGGAATTTACAAGCAATGTGCAATGAATTCAAGAATTTTACGCAATTGCTTGCTATCACTTTCAAACAATTACAATCGCATAGGAGTGATCCTGCTTTGAAATTTCTTGCTCACGAGAACTATTATGTCTAGATTGAAACCCTAATTCGTTTCCTTGGAACTATTTTGCTGAAGAGAGAGAGAGCTTACTTTGAGTGAGTAAACGCATGTAACACCCACGATAGGTGTAGTAGTCCAAACCCGCACACCAAAAGAACCTGCCTTATTGGGAGAATGATGGACAACATATGTTGGTCTCTTTTGAACAGGGTGAATTCAGACACTCGAACACCCATGCTGGGATGCATGACAGAGCTAAGCACTGTAAGCATCCTCGGGTGCCAAATCCTGGTGGAGTATCAAATTTTCCTTCCCTGAGGATGAAACTGTCATGGAACCTAGGAACTGCAGTTAAACCTCCAATATGTTTATTGCAAATATCTCTAGTTGTTCAATTCTAGAAGTTATAGGGTTGGTAAGTCATGAAATCAATTGCTTTTGGGGTTTTAATAAAACCAGTTGTGCTATACCCGATAGACTATTTGAATATTCTTAAGGTATCTAGACACGCTCGCCAGCCAAAAAAAGGGGAAATTATCATAATAACAGCTACCTTGGCTGTTGGAAATACGTTGATAGGTGGGTAAGGAGGAGTGCATGATGCCAAGTGCTTCAAAAGAGATGCATTTTACTAAACCAACTCCCTCTCATGTGATTGATGCCCTCTTTATGATGCATGCAGACTCTTAGTAGTTTGACTACGTATGCTCTGAGCTGACATGCTTAACCTGATTCTAAGTGAATAGATGTGCAATTTGACAGAGATTTTTTGAATGTGCTATCGCTTACAACTATGATTATCTATTCAATCTATTTACTTCATCAACAATTGTTAGAAAAAAAAGAACTTAGAAGCATCTTCACCGAAGAAATCTTTACAAAAACAACTTGAATTGTCTATTAATGAGCTTGCTAAGTAAAGATTTTGTTGCATATGACCTGTAATTAAGTGAAAATATTGTGCTTCAGCATCTCGATTGAGCGTATAGCTCCATCAATATTTGGAAAGTTTTTTCCTAGCATTTTACAAAATGCTGGTGCCCACTTTGTCCTTGGGGAGTCACTTCTACAGTGATTTTGCAAAAATTGCATATGGTTGATACACATGCAGAGTTTTTATCAGGTGAAATTGACTAGATAGAAGAGTACTGTGCATTATTCCATTTGCAATTAATTCTAACTACTTGATTCCCAAGCCAAAGTTATGAACATTGTCAAACAGTGTTAAGAGACGTCTCCACTCTTCTTTGCTCATTATCCTTTACGAATTGGTCTTGTTTTCCTAGTAGCTGATGGACTGAAATACTATGATGTTGTTGAGGGAAATGGCCCTGTAGCTGAAAAAGGATCAACAGTGCGGGTTTGATGGTGCCATGTAATCTAGTGATTGTGTGTTTTCATGCATTGATTTTGCTACTTACAGCTTTCTATGGCGTCTATCATTATAGGTGCATTTCGACTGCTTATATCGTGGTATTACAGCGGTGTCAAGTCGAGAATCTAAACTCTTGGCTGGAAATTGCATCATTGCACAGGTGTTTACTCTCTATTGATCTCTTAGCATAACTATAAACACTGGATCAATGTGTTGAATTCTGGATATATGTATAATTAAATGGTACATGATTCATTGTGTTCCAAGTAGCCTTATGAGTTCCAGGTTGGAGCTCCCCCTGGAAAAGAACGAAAGCGTGAATTTGTGGACAATCCAAATGGTCTGTTCTCTGCACAAGCTGCACCAAAGCCCCAACGGCCATGTACATAATGACCGAAGGGATGAAAGTAGGGGGGAAGGTAGAATATCCTCCTTTATTGTCTCTGCATGCTCATACTGCATGACTTCATTTATTTTTTTTTCTGTGCATTATGTATTTTTTAATACATTTTTATGTCAACTCCCTGTTTATCAGCTCACCTTTAATCTTTCTTCTTGTTGTACAGAGAACTGTGCTTGTTCCTCCAGAGGCAGGATACGGCAAAAAAGGGATGAATGAGATACCGGTAAGCTGTTAACAATGGTCATACCAGTATATTTTAAAAGTTACCACATAATATATTTATTTTGTTTAACAGTTTATTAGTATCTTGAGCTGTGTTTGGTCATCCCATGGACATGGAATTTGTCCATTTTGGTTCAAACACTAATGTTAAGGATAAGGAATCAATGCAATGGGATAGAACATGCTTATCCCTCAAAATAAACAAAAATTAGTATTGTAAGTTGATGCCATAATGTCTTGCTGGCTACATATCAACTTGTTTTTGAATTTTTTTCCCTTTAATAATTCTGGAGAATGCATATTTAACTTTGAACTCAAAGTAGAGAAAATGTAGCCATTTGAAGTTCAAAACTCACCCCCTCTTGAACATGTGGGTGAAAATTGGTATATTTTTGGGTTCTCACCTCATATATTAATTTATGAAGTCTCATATATTACCCCTCTGGTTTTCTGACGCTGGAACATTTGTCGAAATCATCAATGTATGTGGATTTGAAGAGATCGAGCCAAAGCAGACTGGAACATAGTGTTTCTAGGCTTAGTTGTGCCATATTTCAATGCAGGTATGCTTTGTAAATAGTTGCAATTGTTTTCTAGATCATCTGATGTGCTTCTTTGGAAGTGTTGATTAGCATTAGTGAGGTACTGAATTTAACGTAAAAGTGAATTTTCTTGAATGCGTCTGACAAATCTCTCTCTCTCTCTCCTTGATCCTTATCAGTTAACCTCAAGTGTCTCTGCCAGCACTTGTGGTGTACCACATTTTGCCCTTGATGTTGCTGATCAAATAATGTCCAGTAGGATTTTTGTGCTGTGTACTTGTGCATTGTTGGATTATGGGTTACAGATTAGAAAAAGGTTCTACATGTTCAACATGGATTTGAATGTAGCAGAAGTTTAGCAAAATGTACAGAGGGATGGGTGGCATATAACCTTGAACACCAAAAGCAGGGGACCTTGAGTGATTCAAATATCAATTTAGATGCTACAATAAACTTCAATTTGATATGCTAAAAATATTTGCATCTAATTTTTCAAACGCTGATTAATTACTGGAATCAGACAGCATAATCAAATCTCTTGGATAAGGAATCAGTCTGATAGTATACTGTTACAGTTCAAACAACTTGGGCACCATTAAGATTATGTGTGGCACTTTATTTGTTTTGAGCACATGGCATCAATCAAGTTCAGGGTTCTTGATTAGATCGAGTGAAAATAGTTTCCAAACCAACAAAGATTTAAGAAAAATTGAATAGCAAAAGCTCAGTGATCCTAGCTGTAATACCCTGTAATCTGAGCTGAAACATTCTATTGCATAAGCTTCAAGGTTGAACTCTAGAAACCTTATCTAAGGCAGGATTGGTTGGTTTGGTTTGAACTCAAGACTTTTAGGTTTTGATACTATTTCAACCACTAGATAAGTATAAATCATCAACTCATCTAAAAGCTTAAGTTTTTAGATAGGACATTTGTATTTTTGTAATAATTGCACATTTTTGTTATCATCCAAGAGTATAAATACATACTTCTTTTTTGAGTCGTAGTAATAATGTTAAAGGAGAGAATGCAGTCTGATCTTATTTTGACCAAAAGGATAGGCATGCCAACCTGCGAGCGTGCAAGCAAATTGATCATGCAGATGAAAAGTTTGACAAATCTATGACCAAGAATCTCAGCATGCTCAGAGAAGCAAAGAATGTGTACTATGTTGAACAAGACTACTTGTAGAGGAGAACAGTGAAAGTGGGAAAAATCTGTAGTGATCTTATGCTCAAATACCAATCAACCTAGATTCATTTCCAGGTAACATGCACCAACAAAGTTTGTTTGCTCATGAAACCACTTGCAAGAGGAGATAAAAAGATAATAAAGAAGAAACAGTGTCAGGTGATGTGCGATAGTTATCTCAAATATGTTGAGCTTTATTTGATTCCTTGAAACTTCAAACTACGGGAAATTAGGTACTTCTAACCGTATTTGGGAAGCTTTTTAATTTAGATGGATGCAAATGAGCTTGGGTCCAAATTGTCTGGTAATTGGTCTTTTTACACACCAAGCACTGCATGATTTTTGTTTATAATTCTGCCCCCTTATGACCCAATCAATTGC